GAAGCAGACTATTTGACGCAATGCAATGAAAGGGAATTAGTTTCTCATAAATGTTCCAACAAGGCAGTAAGCCTTGTGAATGAATTATAGTTTAGGATGTTTTCCATTGATTTAGAATACAATTTTTTAAGTAGATAGCTGTTTTTCAAACCATTCAAAAAATCTTTATCTTTAAAATTAATATATGATAGAGTTTTAATAACTTTTTTTAATGCTGTGATTATGTTTGCTTTGCATATTTCAATATAATAATTTTATTTGAAAACATAACATTTTTAAAAGTTTCTCGGAAAGAAGAAACTATTTGAAGAAAAAAAAAATTAAAAAGAAAAATCCTTTAAAACAGCCCAAATTGACAACCAGATAATGTCTGAATATAAGAAACCTCTAATAGCTATATTTGTTATTACAGAGGTTCTTCTGCTGTGGTTGAAAAAGTAAAACACTAGTACAAGCACTGGCACAGAGTCAGTGCCCTCTGAAGACTGCTCAGCTCAGGAACAAACTGAAATCACAGTGAGGAAAGAAGGACAAAAAAGCCTTTGTCTCCCTCTCTACTGATAAGAACAGAGGTTGTTATTTATTTTTGGGTTTAGATCAAATAACTATTTTTTAAAAGATTGCCCTTCAGCATTGTTAATTACTTTAACTACTCCTCTAACCATTATTCTGGTTATAAGAATTGCTCCTGCCACCAAAATAAACTGTTACTTAATTGTGCAGTGAACAAATCACAGCACTGTATCTCTTTTAGCAGCTGGACAGCAAAGAAGTGATATGGTTGCAACTGCGTGTGCCTAATGCTTTATCAATCTCACACACAGCAACGAGTGTCCTCTTTAAGGGGAAAGGACGCACAAGTGGATTAGGAAAAACTGCTAAGCAAATTGCTGCTCCATAGTTTGTCCTGTAGACCACACAGATCAGCTATGCAAGTCCTACCTGTATCTTTCTTCCCTGGAGACTGCGTGATCTGTGCTTTCTAGCAAAGACATATTGAATCTTCCTGGTTTTATTTTTATAATTACTATTTTTATTTTGAATGAAGTTGGAATTGCGTGGAAACAAAAGAGAGACGCCATCTCATTACCCTCAGACTATCTTTCAGATTCATCGGGGTTTCAGCCAAACAGTGGAGGCATTTCTTGCAAAACAGCACAGAAGGACATAAGTGCACTGTGTGCATGCTTCTGAGAAAAACAGCCGCCTCCGAGACACTTCTTCACTCGTCGCTGCGAGCAGAGCATGGGGCAGGACCCTGCCTCTGGTGGAGCAGCAGATCAGCCTGGTCAGCCTGGCCCCCTTCTCAGCTCATGCACCACTTCCAACTCACAGTTTCCCAAGCCGCGGCCAAATCTTAAAACAAGACAAAGCCCTTCTGCACCGTCTCAGTGTTTGCATGTGAAGTGAGGCGAGGGAAGGGGGGTTAAAGCTGCCTGATCCCAGAACAGTCTTTCTCCTCCTGCGGGAGGAGGCTCAAGGAGAACCTGAGGGCGCACCAAGCCAGCCTGATGCCTCTTCAGAGTCCCGTGCACCAATGTGTTAATCCAGGCCTTAGAGGATCAGCATCTTCATAAAAAGCCTGCACGCTCACAAACGATATTCATTTTCAGTTCCACCAAGATGGATAAAATGTGGCTAGAGAGAGGACCTGATCACAATATAATGATATGTCAATGATATCCGAGCTGCTCCTACCCTTGCCGAACCCCTCTAATGTAACTGAGGGCTGGCTCCTCTCACAGCTTCATGATTCAGTACATTTTGCTAGCACTTGTATTTTTTTCCCCATTGGATCAGAGACAGATGGAAGGAACAATGTAAAAATAAATGACAACAGGGGGAAAAATAGGATAGACAAATGTAAGGACAATTTTTCTCCTCAGTTACTTGAATAACATGGGTAATAAATACTCTGGTCTTAACCACTAATTACAAATTCCTGTCTGGGGAAAAAAAAAAAGCCAATACAAAAAGCAAAATATTTGGAAAAATTTTTCCTTCCAATCCCCCCATCTCCAAATTATTGCCTGTTTCACCCAGAAAATCTACTTCTGTCCTTCCCAGCCTTTGTAAAAAACTGCTGCTTCCCTTTTACCACAGTTGTCTTACCCCTTTCTAGACAAAACTTTAGGGGCCACAGAGGTTGAATTATGGAGGAACTAGTCAAAACTGAACTTGCCCTTCCTACTCCCAAACCACCATGATGGCTAATCTGTCTGACTGTGTTATCTTTTGTTTCAGTGTTATAGTATTAAAGCTACAGGGACTTGGCAGTTATTTTTAGTGAAATTTTCTAATTTATGTTATGATTTAGACACAAATACTATAGTGGCAATTTTTCAAAGGCAATAACTTGCCACTAAGAAATTGTATATATTGATTGTCTGACACTAAACATTTTGAATCTTAGACTATTAGCACAAAAGAACCATAAAAACCTGATGCTTTCATTGTTCTGCAAAAATTGTTTCATCTTACCAATACTATTACCCAGCAGATTTCAACTCAGTCCAGGGACTACAAATACATAATTAGCTTAAGAAAAACTGTTTTCCAAGTATATAATCATATGATTTCCACAAAGGTTACACCATTATGTCACAAAAAGGAATAGCATCAAATACATATTAATGAATAGCTTTTTTTTCCTGAAACACTTTAAATCCACTACCACCTTCGAGCGAAACTTTCATGTATTGTTCCACAAAATTCTCACACTGTATGTCATTTTAGAAAGTAACTCAACCCACTAATGAAGTCAGTAAAAAATGTCACTGGATCCTATTAAAGCTGAAAACATGTAACTGAAAAGTTTACTCTAAACCAGTAACGAATTCAAGCCCCAATACCAGAGCATTTGAGGTTAAATCCAAATGCTCTTAAATTTAGAAGAAGTCAAATTAATATCCATATGTATATTTTTGGCATCAATGCTTTTTCAAGCTTGCTGTGGGGGTATTTCCAACTTGATTTCAGTTCCTTAGTTCAGATCATGACCTATTTCCAAGCCAGTTCTGTTATTATATGAAGTATTCTAGCCAGAGAAGGAACACAGAAATCTTCCTTTCTTTTTTTTTTTCTTTTTCTTTTTAATGAGAACATTTTCTTTAAGAATGAATTGAATTAAGACTATCAAAATCTTTCCTTTCTAATATGTTATATATTCACCTAGTTTTCAAATTATGTATCTGACGCTGAAAGTGCTTGCTCCTCGGCACTTCTCTTTGCCCTAGACCTTGGCAATTGGAAGTGACATGATATATCCCTAGCAAAATCAGTAGGGTGGATTAGCTGAAGCATATAACAAAATAATGGCTTTCTCCTCAAACATGGTTTTGCAAAGATTATACTGCATGTCTGTGAGGAAAGGCACACCTAAAGAGTTCCTGCCTTGCACAGGCACCTGGGACAATTTCAGTGTGGGAAGTGTGCAGAGGGCCAGCACAATACCGGCATGACAGGGGAAAAACAGCGTTACGATCCTGAAGGGATTTACAGCTAGCGGTAGGATACTGTTGGCAGCAGGCCAGTGAAGGGCACCATTTTGCATGCGGTGGTAACACGTACCGGCCTTGTTCAGTGGGCTGTTTGGAGAGGTGCTGTTACAGGAACTAGTGCACACAGACCTTTGCTCAGACCGGTGGCTAGGTGGCGATTTTAGTGCAAACCAACAAAAGGTTGAAGATTACATTATTAAATTGAATCCATACAGACTGATCACGACACTGTTCTCACCTATGTTTCCCTTTATGTACTAAAATAAAAGACATAGAATCACAGAATCACAGAATGGCGGGGTTGGAAGGGACCTCTGGAGATCATCTAGTCCAACCCCCCCGCCAGAGCAGGGTCACCTACAACAGGTTGCACAGGACAGCATCCAGGTGGGTTTTGAATGTCTCCAGAATGGGAGACTCCACCACCTCTCTGGGCAGCCTGTTCCAGTGCTCCACTACCCTCAAAGTAAAGAAGTTCCTCCTCATGTTAAGATGGAACTTCCTATGTTCAATTTTGTGCCCATTACCCCTCATCCTATCACTGGGCACCACTGAAAAAAGACTGCTCCCATCCCCCTGGCATCCTCCCGTTAAGTATTTGTATGTATTAATAAGATCCCCCCTCAATGTTCTTTTCTCTAGACTAAAGAGACCCAAGTACCTAAGCCTTTCCTCATACGAGAGATGTTCCAATCCCCTAATCATCTTCGTTGCCCTTTGCTGGACCCTCTCCAGCAGTTCCCTGTCCTTCTTGAACTGAGGAGCCCAGAACTGGATGCAGTACTCCAGATGCGGTCTCACCAGGGCAGAGTAGAGGGGGAGGATGCCCTCCCTCGACCTGCTGGCCATTCTCTTCATGATGCACCTCAGGATGCCATTCGCCTTCTTGGCCGCCAGGGCACATTGCTGGCTCATGGCCATCCTGTTGTCCACCAGGACTCCCAGGTCCCTCTCCACAGAGCTGCTCTCCAGGAGGTCAGCCCCCAACCTGTACTGGTGCATGGGGTTATTCCTCCCCAGATGCAGCACCCTACACTTACCCTTGTTGAATTTCATCAGGTTTCTCTCCACCCAACTCTCCAGCCTGTCCAGGTCACGCTGTAAGGCAGCACAGCCTTCTGGCGTGTCAGCCACTCCTCCCAGTTTTGTGTCATCAGCAAACTTGCTGATGGTACACTCTATCCCTTCATCCAGATCATCCATGAATATGTCGAACAGGACTGGGCCCAGTACTGACCCCTGAGGGACACCACTTGTTACTAACCTCCAACTAGCCTCTGCACCACTAACCACAACCCTCTGAGCTCTATCTGTCAGCCAGTTCTCAATCCACCTCACTGTCCATTCGTCTAACCCACACTTCCTAAGCTTTCCTGTGAGGATGATGTGGGAGACAGTGTCGAAAGCCTTGCCAAAGTCAAGGTAGACAACATCCACTGCCCTCCCCTCTATCCACCCATCTGGTGGAATTCAGTCCCATATAATTTGGATTTACTATACCTCACTAAACTGTTGGCAGTGTCAGGATCTTGTGCTGTTACTGTGCCAACAGCAGTCCCGATCTTCGCATTTTCATAAACTTCCATGACATAGGAAGGCATAGTGAAGAGCGGAGGTTCATCCACATCACCAACAATGATCTTCAACATTGTGACATCTTTGAATGGTCCCAAGTGCGAAAAGCGGAAATCAAGGTGAGTATTTGCTCCTTCTATATTAAGTGTATATGACTTCTTTTTTTCATAGTTGAGCGGCTGTTGGCAGACAAAAAAAAGATTTATCAATGCCATTCTGTGTTTCAGTTTAGCCTGCTAGCAAGCTAACTACATCTCTTCTGTTTCCCTTAAATCACATTTCTTCACGTTACTGGTAAGGGACAGTATTCTGTGATATTCTGGCAGCCACTGCCATAATTTGTAATTAGAAGGATATACATGAAGCAGAATGGATTCAGGTTTTGTCTACAACAGAATTGTGGGCAAGGTACCACTTGATAAAACTCAGGGTTTAAAATGAGTGTCAGATTCCTCTTCCAAGATAATGTAAAGCCTCTGAATTGTATCACCTTTGAATTTTTATTGGTCAATGCTAAATATTGAGACTGATGTATTCTGAATTAAATCAACTTCATATTTTTAACTAATACATTTAATAGACAGTGATAGGGATACTAAAATTTTTTTGACCATCTTTTCTCTTAAATCCTCAACTGAAAAAAGCAACTCCTTGAAGGAAAAGACTCAGTTATGATAACAGACAGGAACTTAAATGTGTGAGAATAGCCTAAACATGTTCTTGTGTACTTTTCTAATTAGAAAGGGCGAATCCCTATATTCTAGACCATTTTCTTTTCAATTCCTCAACATCAACACTGAGAGACACAACTCTTCATCCTCTCTCACCGTGTGCTGCTGGGCTGCACATGGATTATGCAGTCATAAATGGGAAGAAAGTCTGCAAGTGGGGATATGCCTTCTACGGGGCCTAATGTTCCAATAAAACCCAATAGAAGGCACATCCCCAGCTGTATCATCCATCCATCAGAAGTGCCACAGCCACTTAAACATTGTCCTCTTATTTAAATCAATAGATTCCTACCAGGAATCCTACCTCTCTACTAAGAAGGAAGAAGCTGGGGGTCTGACTCATATATCGCACAGCACGGATATTTTCTTTCTTAGGAGACCATTTCTAGCTTGCTATTTACACATGTGAAAATTTCATCTCCCTCATTCAGCTGATTTTCAGATTATTGTGAACTGATTTTACTGACTTGATACATTTATTTTAACCCTACATTAGCATGCTATCACACTATCTTATTCAAGATGTAAGATAAACATGACACATCCAGCTCTCAACTCTTCCAGTGTCAGAGAGTTATGTAGTAGAGGGGACTAAAAGGATATTTAACTTAAAAGTATGCAAGTAATGAAGTTCCATTAGCAGATATAGAATTAAGCAATATTTTTACTGGAAGCCATGTTTACAGGACCACAACTATTTTGAGTTGGTTTCTTTAGTATCACTAAAGTAACTGATTACTTTCCATAGACAGCCCATTGAGAATTTCATGGGAGAATTTATTTTTTCTATATATTGTCTATTAGTTCTAGTTACTGAAAAGGCTTAAAAAAAATCCAGTTCCGTTCCAGGCAGTCATAGGACAGATTTCAAGCTTCAGATTGCTGTTTTTTAAATGTGCTTCTATCTTGAGCAAAAGCACTCGTTCTTAATAATAGACATGTCAATGCTTCCTACAAATTTCTGGCTTCAGCCAATTTATAAAAGAAGGACAGGTAGTTTAATATTTATTATCATACTGAGCAAAGCAGACAGTCTGTACAGATCTATATGCTACCACTAAGTTTCCAACAGTCTCATAACACAGGCATAACACTAAAAGAAGTTTCATATGCATGCAATTTTTTTTCCAATCAAAATTATTATGATATTATGGCATGGCAGAATTCCACTATGACCAGTGTCATTCTGTGTGGACCTGCCTGCCTGCCTGAACAGAACTTAGTACAAGTATTCAAGCCTCTGACCAAGGTTAAACTGGTATTTCCTGTCACCTCAGACAGTGGAAAAGTAGTAGTTCAGGCAAGAAATATGAGGAGCTCAATGTGTGATTTGTCAATGTCAGTGTGTATTTTGTAGATAAAATCTATAGTAAATTTGACTGATGATGTGTAAGAAAAATAGTTGGTCAAGATTTATATACGCTATATATTTCTTTGATTTCTCTTCTGCGTATTGAAGGGCAATTAGTTAATTTTCTTAACTCTAATAGTATAAGACTTTCTTTTTGTATTTTGCTTTCTCTGTCTCCCTTTCCTGAATGCAAAAATAAAAATTTTAAAGGCACGGAAATTTACCATAGCCTGATAAATCTATTACTATAAATAAAAAAGGCTAAGTATACTGCTCAATTAAATCAACTCATAAAGAAATATAAGTTTAGTAAATTTTAACTGAGATGTTATTCATTAATTTCTGTTGTATTTCTGTTTTGAGCAGGGAAATATTAAATAGTAATTTGCATTGCTCTGCAGCATATACATTCTAAGATTAAACAAGTTTACAATAGGATTGCAAATTGTAACTATGATGCCCTTTTGGAAAATTAACTTAAGTTTACATTGACAAAGACTGGACCAGGTTGTATAGGAAGATTAATTTCTCCCTGAAAACACACGATGAATAACACAAAGTCTAAAGTCTTGCTTTCTTTCTTTTCTGTATTTACTCAATCAGACAATAACACTTATTTTTGGCTAGAAATACCAGAATAATCCATTCAGATAATCAGAAAAAGCTGACATTTCAACCACAGCCAAAGCACTTTTTTACTTCCATTTTCTCATTTCTTCTTCCCATAATGTCTCCAAATTAAAGAATTAGATACTAGGACACAAGTGAAAAAGAGCTTACTCTTCTGCACTGTGATTTGCAGAGGTAAAAGAAACTTACTATTTTCAACACTGAGATATTTTAGACAGAGAAGACACATACTGTCCTAAGGTTTACTATTACCGGGGGTCACCACTAGTATCTTTTTATTTTTAGATTTTCCTTGTCCTCTCCTGAGGAGAAGTAAGGAAATTGACAAGCAAAGCAAGCCCTGTGATATTCCACATCTTTAAGCAGCTCACAAGTCCAGTTATTACGTTACTTTTACTTTTGATAAAATAATAAAAAAAAGAAATCTGGTTGCAATTTGAATTTACAGAACTGTATTTTGCTGGGCTTCTCCCTAAACACTGCGCATGTGTTAAAATTGATATTTATCTTATATTTGAAGAACAAATTGAGCCCCCATTTATAGCCTGTCTAATGCTGGACTAAGAAATTTGTTCATAGGCTCACCCACTATTTCAGGTAATCTGAGCTGTTTACCAGTAGGAGGTTTTTATTCCAGTCTTTTTTTTTTGCTAATTTATTCATCGTAACATTCAGTTTAAAATACCTAAACTGTTCTAATTCAGTAAGAGTTTGGGCATAAAAATGATAATGCAAAATAATTCATATTTATAAAGGAAATATTTCAACTATCCCATCAGAGTCACAATAGGACTCACAGAGAGGCCTTGAATATCAGTCACCTATCTCAGTCATTAGCTGTAGCTATAAGATGAGAGGCAGCACTTTCCTGTCTCGCTAGAAATGTAGATGATAATTTCTACATTTACTTAAAATTGTCCCAGCACTGAAGATCTTTAACTCTTTCCTGGAAAGAAAACAAAACATTTAAATTTTAGATGGACTTAAACCGCAGAATTCTATGAGAAGTAAGTAGCTGTTTCCTGAACATTTCCAGTCTCGTTACACAAAATGGAAGAGACATGGGCTGTCCAGACCATTTTTTTCTGGAAAGCCTGAATGATACTTGCTGGCTTGAGGTCAGGAAAGTTCTAGTATACTTCTCCAAAAGTCACAAGAAGGGACGAACATGCTGACCAGTCATTCTCTGAAGGAACCAGACGGTAATGGCTTTCACTGTGCTATTTTGTTTTGGTTTCCTCTAGCCTCCCACTCAAATGAGAAATTGCATGAGGCAAAGGGGGAATCCTTCACAACAGTTTGCAATCAACCCTTTGTGGCAGCATCTTTGAGGCTGAAGGGTGGCTCCACAGGGCTTGTCAATAGGGGAGATAATGAAAGTACCAGGTCATGCCAAAATGAGACTAGAAAAAATTCCTTCCAACACTCACAGACTTTGCAGACCTGTTGAACAGCCTAGCATGGACACGCTGAGAAATTTGATCTTTGCATCAGAACCCCAAATAAGTCAAGTTTCAAAAGGTTTGAGGAGGACTTCAGATATTCAGACACAATAACATATTTACTTCTAGCTTTTCTGATGCGCCCGTGTTGTGGTTTAACCCCAGCCAGCAACTAGGACCATGCAGCCACTCGCTCACTCCCCACCCCCCACCCCATAGGGCAGGGAGGGAGAAAAGGAGGGGAAAGGAAAAAAAAACTTGTGGGGTGAGATAAAGACAGTTTAATAGAACAGTAGCAGATGACGATGATGATGATGATAATAATGATGATGATGATGATGACAGTAAAAGAACATACAAAATAAAGTAATATAACACAAGTCATTCTCAACACCTGATGAATGGTTGAACAGCCCTTCCCGAGCAGTGATCGTAGGTGGCTGCCCACCAGCCAACCCCCATTTATATATCAAGCATGACATTTATGGTATGGAATATTGCTTTAGCCAGCTTGTCCTGTCTATGCTACCTGTCAGTTGTTATGGGAAGCTGAAAAAGTCCTTGACTAAGGTAAATATCACTTACCAACAACTAAAACAATATGTATTATCACCATTCCTCTCATATCAAATTCAAAACACAGCAGCCACTAGAAAGAAAATTAGCTCTATCCCAGCTGAAACCAGGACAGCCTACTATATATTCTTCCAGACAAGTATTAGAGGACAAATCATTCTATTCTACTGTTATAGAAGGTACTGGCATCTGATAGATGAAACAAAACCAATTCTGTTCTTAGTGAAGATCATCTGTTTTGGGTAAGCTAAAAAACTAATTCAACTTCAAATACAATCTAAATTAAAGGTAATTACAGCACACAGTATATAATATACTTATTAAACTGCATACAAGATCTGAGTAAAAAAAAACTTTAAAAAGTTAGATCACCTTTTTCTACTGTACAAGGAGGTATTATAACTTCTCTGAGGAAAGACTGGAAGTATTCCACACCGATTTATGTAGCTTTAAGTTCTGAATTTCTGCTCAGCTGAAATATAACATTACCTAAGCAAAATGTACCCCTTCTTGTCTTGATGGGAAAATGACTCAAATCCATGTCATGTGTATGTATAAGAACAGGCAACATATGCTTTTTTCATACTCTAAAATATGGTGAAAATTCCTCTGCATCTATTTTGCCTGCCAAAACTAGTAGGAAATGTGATTTTACACTTTTTATTTATGGACTCCTTCCTTTTGTTGCAAATTCTTCCTTTCTGCTTCATGTTCTCAATATGCAAAAATGTATTTAATGAACAATAGTCATGGTGAACTTTTAAACAGAGAACAATGGTCATTTTGAAGAAGAAATAACAGACTATGCCATTAGCTACATCAAGGCCACCAGGAAATAAGTTCAGTGGTATAAAAAAGACAGAGCTTACTTCTGTGTGGCTGAAAGAGGTGGGTGTTACACAACCTTTATAAAAGACACTGAATTAAAGCTTTTTAAGATACTGGGATTGATAGGAATCCTTTGTAAATCATTATGAATTATGAAAATTACATTTCCTTACATATTTTTTAAGATGTTAAATAAAAATTGGCATATATACATATCTATTCAGTTGCAAAAAATAACATTCTTTATGATAGTTTTTATTTATTCTCTTTTCCCTCATTTCTCTGGTTTTCATTCCTCCTACTGTTAATCAGACCCAGAATACACATTACCAAATATGAATACAAATTCACTTTTATTTTTTAGGCTGTATGGATATAACTGATGCCTACAAGACTCAGTAACAACAAATCCACATGAGAATTGTTAATTGTTGTCTGTTAGTCTAAGTGAAAACTCAAATGGACAAAATATTTCCGTTTGTTGGAAAAGTTTAAAAAAATATTACTTAAATATAATAACCCATCTCTCTGGGTTATCATGAAAGTAAAGTTAAATCTAGCCATAGAATATTAGCATAAGTTGGAAGACACTTCAGGAAACATGCATTACAAACTCAGTTCAGAGGACTTAATATAGAGCTGAAATTATCTATGGAATTAGATTTGTGCATGGAATTCAGTTAAGAATTAAATTAAATGGCAAGAACACTTTATAATTAATAATTTAAATAGAATGGGATAAATATAGGAAATTAATATAAATGATAACTGTGTGATGGCTTGACCAGTTACATTTTGAGTCTTTATAGCAAGTTGGTATTTACATTACACAGTGCACAATAGCGGGCCCTTTGGATGACAGCTGGCAAGTAAGTCAGAAAATAACAATCTGTGGAAACTGAATTATACATTTATTCCCACAGATAAACTTTCTATGTCAAGATTCATATAGTTTGGGGAAAAAAGTACAACTTTCTGCGAAATTTTACTTCTTTAAAAAAAAAAATTCAGAAAAATTATCTTAATAAAAAAATTGAGTAAGATTTAATTTATTATAAATATTAGATATGACCATTCAAAAAGTGCAGAAGATTTAAATTACTGTTTCTTTCCTTGAATCTTTTCTCCCTGCCTTTTCTGCAAAGATTTAAAGTGTCTCAGGAAGCAACACAGAGCAGCTTACACTGCTGAAGTTCATGGTTCAATAGGCTTACACTGTAAAATATTTTCATCATCATATCTGCTTATTCATCATTCATCATTATACTTTAATTATGTACGCAGGGAACTTTCAAAGTCTATTGCTTACCTTCTTCAGGGAAAGAATCCCTTCCCTTGTTTCTTTGTCAGTAGATATGGAGAACACCCCAGAGCCATCACCATTTATAATTGTGTACTTCATGTCTGCATTTGAACCAGTGTCTGCATCATTTGCTTTGATTTTGCCAACTGCTGATCCAACTTGAGCTGATTCAGGAACATACAGTTGATAATGTTCTGAGGGGAGGAAAAGAAACAAACACAATAGCTTGGAGATTTTCTTGCCAAACTAAATTAGAGAATGGTTATGTGCTTGATACCATTCTGAGCAAATGGAAGAGTATTTCGTATGCAAAACTGTCAAATAAACCTATGAACTTATTTATATTCATGAAAGAATTCAAAAGGGAATGGTATTTTACTTGGGATGCCTTCATTCCCTATTCAAAATCTAAATTACCTAATGCAGGATTTTGGTTTTCACAGTTATTTTGCTGTTCATCACATAACACAGAAATTAATTCTGAAGCTTACTTCACACCAGTATTTTTAAAAGTTTATCTTTTCCATGACCAAAATACATTTCTCTTCGTCAACTTATTATCAAACGAGTAGTCAAATTTTGCAACACTGAATCAACAATATTTTTTTTTCAGAAAAATGTAGTAAATCTTAATATTTTACCATTACCACTTTGTAGTGTTTTCGTTGCAGCACAAAACACTTTGCACACAAATTTTATTTGGTATTCATGGTAAAGGAAAATGAACATAATGGGTACATAAAAGCATTACAAATTGTGCCCATAAAAAGCATCCATAACAACCATGACCTCCTTTCAGTGTTTTTATAGCCTGTTAGGTTAATCATTAGAAAATGAAATATTTTTTTGAAAAAATGACTTTCTTAACTGTCCCTATCCTTTTGGATTAGATCTCCTAACAGGTACAAAATTGCCTGGGGGACAGGAAGGTGCCACAAGGAGAAAAAAAGTGGCAAACAGACTCAGTGTGATTACATAAACCTCAATTTCCGTCTGAAACTAGGCTAGAAAGACAGCTCAAAGTCATTTTCTCCAACAATGCTAGTGTTGTAACACAGCAGGGATGCTGCAACCTACTAGCACTGAAAAGAATATACATTCAGTAGAAGGTGTGCACATACCAACCTGCCTCCCTCCTCAAACAACCTCCCATCCAAATCCCTCCCCAACAGTCTGCACAGTTTATTACACACACCAACCACCAACACAGAAAAGAGAGCAAAATAACAACTTCTGTTGTTACATATCTTCTGAAACTCTACAGACTTTCTTCTATATTCCTCTTATGCATTCTGCAATAGTGGATGCTACAGTGCAACACTGAGGTGCAGGACAGTGGATCAGAAGACGCTGCATATCAAAGCTAAAATGTTGTTACAGTTTGTGGAGTTTAAAGCAGCTAGCATGGCTGCAGAGATGCCCTTGGTGAGCGTGTAGAAAGAGAAAGGCAAAAATGTAAATTGAATTCAGAGATTAAACCTGCATTATGGCAGAAAGCCACTATCTGTTGGATGGACTGAAGAAATTATGAATCTACAGAAGTTGCAATTGCAAAGGGAATGGATGTTATCACTAAAATACAATTCACTAAATTTAGACACCTGTTAGAAAGTAAAATATTTTATTATAAATTTATCTAATTCCTTGCATGATGGTTCCTAACCCTATTTATAGTCTTGAATTGGTTTTGTAATGCTAGCCCATAATACTAATAAACAAATAGTAGTGTGAGAAGCATGGACAAGTGCACTAAACTTTGTTAGTCCAAAAGGAAAGAGAGGTTTCCTGGGAAAACAAAAAACAAGTTACCATGCATCAGGGAAAAAGTACAATTTACCACGTAAAAAAGAAAATACCAACACTGATCTAACAGGAAAATTGCTTAGTACTTGATTCAATTAAAACACATAGTTAATTCTTTGATGCATTTATTTGACGCGTATAAAAGCCATCTTCACAAATTTCCAAATAAATGCTCTGCCATGCATTCTTTTGCAGTGGTCCGTGCTTACAGATGATGTCAACTGACACTTTCACATTGCTGGTTGCTTTATTTCATACATAAAATTATAGTGATGGGATGAGATTACTTTTGGAATTTACTTATTGTTAAAATAAATGTGAAATATGTTTTTTTGACACTTTTGCTCCGACTAATATGTTCCAAAAAAGAAAAGGTTAAGGCCATAAAGAATATGTTCTGTAGTGGCCATAAAGAATATATTATATAATCAAACCACTTCAGGAACTGGAAGTGTTATAACCCATATGATAGGGTGAACTAATTAGAGACTTCCAAATAGTCAAGCTAGTTCAAATATACCCACATGACACTACATTCTGCTTTATAATCACACCCCAAGTGTTAGCCATCTGTTTCTGAAAATCATTTTACTGACACCAGATTCAAACATTCTGAAATACTAAAACTTCAAGCAAAACAAATATTTGAAATCACTCCTTAATTATCTGTCAGTATTTGTAAAACTGAAATGTTTTGAAAAAATGGATGGATTAACTGTTAAAAAATAAAAACTCCTAGATCATAAGGTCAAGAATGTCTCCAGATGAGTATTTAATCACTGCTTCACAGACACAGCCTGAAAATATCTCATACAGAAATGAGCCAAACAGATAATTACAAACAATACTATCTAAAAACAACAAAAGGATAAAATTCAGCAACATGAAGGTTAAATATATTATAAATATTTATTTAGACACTAGTGGTAGAAATTGGAATTGTTGTTACTAAACATTAAACTGTTGTAAACTTTATTACTGGAAAGTGGAGTAATTGACTAAAGGCCCAACTGAACATTTCCTCGTGCATTGAACAGATTTTGACATGACATTAAAAATAATGTGGGATGGGTATCCTGTGAGTTGATAATTCTTTATTGTGAGCTACGAGTCTGCCTCAACCCTCCAAAAATTGGCTGGGAAGATAGGAGCCCTGAGGATCAGGTACCGTTCAGTATTAAAACTGTTTCACCAACTCTGCCCGAGTTGAACAGATTGCTCCTATGTGCCCAGCATCGCAGCCTTCCAGGAGCTGTTGCAAGTCTTGGAGATACGCTAAACTGATCTAGAGGAGACTTATGGATCAAGATTCTGTAGAGGTTGATTTGGTTCTGAATTTTTATACTCTTTATATAAATTATAAATTATAATCTTTTCCAGTTAATGTACTGTGTAAGACAGTAGTACGACTTTGCAGGACTTTAATCTATGCTACTTGAAACTTTGTTCGAATACATATAGGCAGTCTTCATCTTTCTTTCAATAAACTATACAGCTTATCTATCATTATAATACAGAAACAATTTATTGATCTGTAGAACTATTTACATCTCATTTCAATTAGCCTACAGGCAACATGTAATGCTGTGTTTTACTCTCAGAAAAGCAATTTCTCTGTCTGAATCTCTCAAAAAAAGAAATATGACAGTATTTACTGCAACTCAACAAGCATGTTATTAACTTTATTTTATTCATTAATCTATTTTGTTGATAATTTTGACTTTTCTAGGTTATAATGTCCTCTTGAACAGTACGAATTACCTTACTCAACAAAGGAAGGGAGGAGAGGCATAATGTTGAACTAATAGAGAAGTAAGTAAATATTTGGCCACCTTCTTATTTGTTTATCCAAGGCATAGTTTTGGTAACATGAGGATAAATATTGCTTGGTGATGAACCAACAGATGCATTCATTCATACAGCACAGCTCGTACACTGGTGCCTTTGTCTAGCTACTAGCAAATTGATAAACACAGCAACTGATTGCCTTAACATAAAATAACACCATAACCTAAATGTATGTCAAAGTGCAATGGGAAGAAAGTTCACTTGAACCTACAACTAGCTAAATACTCAGTCATGAGCCAAATTGATAAGATATGGAGAACAAATAGACACTGAGTCTGATGATTATGAGCACAATATTCAACTGGTAGCCAATAAACAGTAGTTGTGCAGGAATCAAAACTCTGGCCAAAACTATTTAAAGTCTTAACTAATGACCTGAATCATGGGTTGCATGTACTCGCCGCAAGCGAGTGGACAATATCATCTTGGGAAAAAGGGGTCAGTAAGCTGGAAGGTAGGGCTGCTGTTCAAAGGGACCTAGACAGGCTGGAGAAATGGGCTGACAGGAACCTCACAGCATTCAGTAACAGCACCGAGGAAGGAATAACACCATTCACCAGTACGTGCTTAGGGCCAACCGCCTGTAAAACAGCTTTGCAGAAAAGGACTGGAAAAGGATCCTTCAGATCTTGACTACACAACACCCTTCGCAGCTTGATCCAACTAAACCTGCCTTCAGCAGGGATTTGGTTCAGATGACCTTCTGGAGGTCCCACATGAATCTACGTTCCTGGTATTGGTGTAGTTATGTCTCACATTTTACTGCCACTTTGATAAAACTAAAGTGCACCTCCAACTGTGGTCTATGCTCGAACTTGCTCGGTGGCCCACTACAAAGTTATTCTTCATTCACAGAACTGCTTGTTTTCATTACATGTAATGATTATTCTGAATTTCTCTTTTAAGACTGCAGGTTTTTAGAAGTCCATTTCTCACAGTATTTCTTGAACATCTGCAACATCCTTCTTCACTATGTTTATTTTTAATATAATAAAACCAATTTTAATCCATCATCATTATGAATACAATAACTTCTATGATTCCAGAAGCTCAGTCAATTTTGTATCTACCGTCTTTGTTCTGAATATTCTTTTTGATGACAACATCCCTTTCATACAGATAGACTAAGGAAGAATTTTTCAAGATGCTGTTTGGCTTATTCTTCTTCCCCACCAAAAAAAAAACCAAAACCCAAACCAAAACAACAAACCCTTTTGCACTTTCTAAACATATTTGAAGTGTAAGTGAAGTTATCTCTTATTTGCAAATATGACACTAAAACAATCTTCAAAACTCAGACATTTTGCTTGCCTTTAAACTCTGGAGAATGTAACACTCTTGAGCCAATTTAGTAAAAAACATTCTTCTTAGATGCAATAGACTCTTTTGGCTAGAAGAAGACTTGTACATCCCCATGCCCCTGATTTTTACATCTCAGTGCACACCAGGAGTTATGTTTGTGATTGAGATTATAATCAGTGAAGAGTTCAATTTATGCTCTATGCAACTTTGCCTTTACAGACAGTAACTAAAAGTACCTGAC